GCCCCCCCCCGGCATGCCCGCGGCCCCCGCCATGTTGGCCCGCTACGGAAGCCGGGCAGGGCCGCGCGGGACACGTCCGCGCCGCGCGCGCCCCCTGGAGGCCGGAGCCTCCTGCGGCCGGTGCCCCCCTCAGGGCAGGAAACCACCCACGTGGCGGCAGCGAGAGGCTGCGGGCCCGGGGGCGTTGCACCGCGCTGGGCTGCGAGACAGGAGCCCGGGGCTGGGACGAGGGGAGAGGACGGGTCCCGGCTGTGAGCAGCCTCCGCGAGCAGGGCTCGTGCCTGTCCGCTCCGCTCCAGCGACAAAGCAAGAATCATCCCACCCCGGGCTTCAGAAGTGACCAGCGCGATCGCTGGCAGCACATGGACTAAGGACGTTTTGTTATAGTCTACCTGGAAAGAAACAGCCCGTGGGCTGAATACGACGCTTTAACACTCACCCGTGCCCAGAAGGAAGGGGCGATTGGAGCACGTGCACCCCTGAGGGTGACAGGGCACCCCCTGCAAAAAGGCAGTCGCTGCTCGCCTCCGCCGGCCGCTGCCAATGCTGCCTGGCACTCACCACACCCTCACCCAGTGCCAGGGGCACCTGTGGGAGCTCCGCACTTACCGCCAGGAGCACGCGCTGTTCATGGATTGGAGCATGCCCATCCCTGGTCTCTTAGGGCTGCATCCCCAGGCCCGATAGCCTTTAAGACATTTTTCACGTTCCAAGCCAAATCAAGTCCAAATCCATGAGGCAGTGCAGAACCGTAAGTGGCCCTACAATTGGCAAACATCCTCTGCCCCCACCAACATGTTTCCAAAGACTTTCGGCAGGTGTCCTGCGTGCAGGCCCAAGTCCCAGACACTTGGGGGTCAGATGCCTCTAAGGTTTGCCTGCCATCAGCCATATGGCCCCAAAAGCTCCTCCCTAACGTAAGCTTTAAGCCCCAACACCTCAGCAGGTACTGATCCATGCCAGAAGAAGTTATCCCTAGGAACACTTAAGGAAAACTGCCTTCATGGACCCAGACACATGATGGCTGCAGGAAGCAAGTCATCTCCTCCTTCCCCTCAACCAAGCCACTTATTCATAGCAGCATAGGGCAGCAAAAAAGAACCAGAAACTAATGGTGGCATTGCTTCATCTTTTGTCACACTATGAAAAGGGGCAGCTCCTCACCCCTCTAAGCACTCCCATCTCATGCCCAACTGCTTCCTCAGGCTTGGGAGAGGGTATGAAGGGCTCCTGACCAGCAGAAGGAACAGGGACAATGGGCAAGATGAATGCAGGGGCAAATATCACTTGTCCCCGCTGAATTCATAACCTCAACTAGTAGTCACACATAGCAGGAGAGGCAGGAGAGTAAGATATAGGAGGACTCCCCCCGCCAATCACAATATTTGTTAACAAGCCTCACGATTTAGGTCCACCAAGAATGAGTGGCCCCAGACTTTGAGCCACGGAAGCTGGCAAAGCCTACTGTTGCTCTAAAGAGAATGAAGCATCCTTCCTTTTTTCAGGAGTAAAAGGTGAATGCTTGATACTGTCCTCCCCCAGCCCCCACTACAACATTGAGGGGGAGAGCGTGTAGACACTGACCTCCTGCTTTTTTACTGCTCCTAGCAGCTTGCACAAAGGCACTTTCCCAACTGTGCAGGATCTAGACCAGGGAGCAGAAACCAAAATCTTGTAACCCGAGATCTGTCAGGTTTTAGGGGACAACTATGAACCGCACTGCTGGCATCTTTGTAAGCAAGCTGCCCTTACTACAGTCTAGTATGAGATAAAGATGAAATTATCTTCCTAGTCAGCAGCGGTTTCCCCAAAAGAATACCTTGTTGCTGCCTGCAATTTACCTGCTCAATGAAAACAGATGGCTTCACACTTCCAGCAATATCAGCTCAACACTAAGAGAAACCCCATGCACACTAGAGGTATAGTAGCAATTAGTGCATCTGGACAGTGGGCTTTGGACAGCACACACCCACACCACACCAAGAACACAAACACTGGAGAATATTTTCCTCCACAATTTTTTATTTTAAATTACAAAGAATGTTGCATACATCGATGAGCCTGTATCTGAATAAAAGTGCTAGGGATCAAGGGTGACAGTAAACAGAGTCAATATATTTTAATTGTGCCTCTTTTTGGAAAAAAAAAAAGAAAAAACTGCACAACTATTAACCAACATTAAACATTGTAACTCTTTGTAACAGATCATGCTTTTAACAAAGTAAAAAAAAAAAAAAAAAAAAAAAAAAAAAAAAAATCAGATTCTAACAGAGACAAGACTTTCGGTAAGTTTTTCTGAGCTCCAGTCGGAAACTGACAACAGAATATCAAGAACAGCATTATAGTCATGACCCCAAACATAGGCAGAGCAGGTTGCCATGTTTTGTTAATTAAAATGATTTAATGTTGCCTTTTAAACAGTTCACTAGGTCCGCATGTGCTATCAGCCTTAGAGTTCACTCAACCACAAATACAAGATGTCTTACATAGGTGAAGCATTCTGAAAGGGAGGAAAG